ATTCTTGGAGTCACACATGCTGCCATTTGAGATGATAAGTACACGTGCTACAAAATTTCGAAGGCCGCAGGCGTTACGTGGAACGCCTGGGCCATCAGGGACCGCATCGGTTCGATCCTGCTCAGTAAGTTACATGACTGACCAGCAGACAGTTGCTGAAGCTGCGAACGACCCTGACGCCTCAAAACGTGATCATTTCGTCTTCGGCGCCGATCGTCGTTTGTGTCAAAGCGTGCACATCGCCGAGCGTTCATTGTTGCTTGCCATAGCTCGAGCGCTTTGGAGCTTCGAAATTCGCAAAGCGGTCGATGCTGATGGTAAGGAAATCGTGCTTGATGCAGGGAACCTGGCAGAAGGACTGTTCGTTTGCCCAAAAGCCTTCTCGGTAAACATTGTACCAAGAGACCTTGGACGAGTCAAGAGGATAAAAGCTGAGTGAAAGAAGATGGAAGGCTTGCTGGATGATGACTTACAATGAAAGACACTTCCTGAGGCCATGATGTGGAGGGAGTATGAGCAAACCGACTCGATCTGAGAATAGGAAACAAGAGGTCCATGGAAGCCGGCAAATCGAGAAGGCCTAATTCGTAGACCATTGTACATACTGCAGCAATCAGGAGCATTTCATGGTCGTAATTCTGACATGCCTTAAGGATGCTATACGAAAGCTCAAAGACGAACGAGATGAGGTGAGAACTGAGAGCGCCAGCACAAGGGCGAAACTAATGTCCACTCAGCTGGTGCGTATGCTATGCGCGAAGATTCCAGAAGTTGTGATCCGTATTGCGGTTCTGATACTGATGCAGTGGACCCAGTCATCGGCAAACTGCTTCAGTGCTTCTACTTCACTGCTAGTGGCTGTCTCTATGCTGAGATCCCCCCTCTCCAGCTTGTTCGAGGAGAGAGTCTCGCCACGGAGTCCTAGAGCAGATCCTAGTCGTCGACCATACAGCTTATCGCCTTTGGCAATGGTCCTGAAGGTAGCTTGAACGGCTCTTACATAGTAGGCATCAGTTCTCAGACAGCAAATCTCATAGCGAATGTGGAGCTAGTAGACTCTTCATCTTTTGATTTGAAGCATAAGTGCCTCGTGGATGCGGCTTGAGATATCTCGATGACGCAACTTAATAGTGTTGAACTGTTTACATGAAAGGGCACGCATCCACTCTCCACAGCTGGATCTGGAAACACAGGCAAAGATCTTAACGTGCTTCCCATCCATACGACCTTCAACTTCCAAAAGCCCATCTAGAAGGAGTTAAACATGCCTCAATTCGACCCTGACATTTCCGGGCCATCGAGGCAAATCACCGCTCGCCAGGGTTCTGCTGTTCCAGACGTGTTGAACCCAGTCATACTTTTTTTCCTACACTTGCTTACGAGGAGCTTCAATGATCAATGAAACAACACCGGGGTCATTAACCGTGCCAAACATTGGCGCACTGCGTAATGTTCTGCTTTTGGCTCACCGGTTTCCCCCACATCTTTCGCAGTGAAGCAAAGGACTGCCCTTGGCGATGCGATGCGGTGCGGGTCGAGCGTCATGGCTATAGGGGCTGATATCTGAGTGAGTTATGTTGGGATCACCGTGGTGGAGGCCAACCGTATTCGTCGATGTAGGTAAACTGTTGCAGTGAATGCAGTAAATTAATGTGTGACCGCGCGAGGCAGTAATCCGAGTGTATTTTCCGTGCTGTGTATCTGCTCGCTTTTTCTGCGAAGGCAGCTGCAGGGTCTGTTTACATGACGTATCACCATCACGTGGCACACGTGATCCGCTTCTCCTCATAACCGCCACATAAACGGTGCAGGCACCGGGGGTCACAGAGAGCGGCTGTCGAGACGCGGTGAGAGCCTTCACTAGTATTCACGGTGAATCAGGCTTCCCGTGCTCTGATTGGCCAGGCACTGATTAGTCAACTGCTCCGTGCGCGCACCATAGATATTCTCCCTTCTCCCGTAGCTCCAATACAACAAGCTCACGCACGTTTTCTCCACCTTCATCAGCGGCACCTCGGCTTTACCATGCACATACCCGCTGTGGCCACTAGCGGCACGCAAGGATTTATTGGAGACGGACCGTCATGCAAGGGGCCCGTCAGAAATCACACTTCAAGATGTGCCCAGCGCAATGTGACTTGAGGCGGTGTGCACTATGATATTCGAAAAACGCTACGGTCAATACAAAGGGGTTCTGGACTGAGATTGTCATCCCCGACAATCCTACGATCATGCAAGACCCTCAATAGGTGGAAATGATGGGCTGTGAGAGCAAGCACAGTTTGTGCAACGCACGTTAGCCATAGACAGGACGATCAGCCGATCTTCATCTCAGATGAATTGGAATAATAACGGTGAGTAGCTTTGCGAGTAAAACTGTGAAGAGCGTTGCGACAGATAATGCACTGCAAGACTGGCTTGAAAGCAACGAGCGCAGGATGGAAGGGTGTGTTGTCTAGGAGAAGCCCAACGTCAGAGGGTTTGGAAGTGTAACCACGTGACTAGAGTCACGTGATATCCTATTGTAGCAGGCACTGCCCGGTGGGCAAGTGCACTTACCTCTGAGCCGAGAGCTCTTGTACACATACATCACAACACAACAACAGATAGCAATACAATCGTTGATCCACAGCCTCCACCCGACACTGCTCACGCAGTTACAGGAAGGATCTCGTGCCCCTCGTCAAAAAAGCTGCCCCACCATCGCGGGCCCAATGTCACGTAGACAACTCTGATCACGTCAGCATTTGCCATGACGCACCTTGTGTAATTGTTTGGCCGCCTCCATCTCATTTGCGAGAATGAGGGCGTCGCTAAGTAGTCTTGGTTCAGCGGCCGTTTGCTTCCAATGAGCCATGGTTACGCACAGCATCGAGCGCGATGCTAACCCCCCGGTCCACGACTTCGCGCAACACTCACTCAGGGCGCTCTGCGAAGGCGTTTGGAGGCGTCAACGGAGTTGATGCCTAGAATTGTGGAGGCGTTCGGGCTCACGTGCAAAAACTATGATAGCGGGGTGCATGCCGTCGACGCCGGCCTAAATGCAGCTGGAACGTGGGTTCCTTTCCGACTCCGCACCATCACACCATGGGCTCTCAGCCATACTGTACTGTAGTGCGTAACATTAAGCCGATTGGTCCTCAACTGGATAACCATCAGGGTTTTGCAGGCCTGCAGAAAGCGAAGGTTCCAATCTCGACGGCACAGCGATGCATGCTTCAACGCTCGATAGAGCCAGATCGTAGAAGCTGTCATTCCCAACATGTCCAAGGCTTGCATGTAGAATATCACTTGCGTTACAAGCCTATCGAACGGGCAAGGCTTCAGTATCACGTTCATGATTAGTGCTTCTTCGGATCGTTTCCGACTGCCGTAACCTCCGCCCCCGTCCGACTTCGCACCAATACTCTGCATCTATCCTTCGATCACTCTTCTCCATGCCTGATAAACAATAAGGAGGCCGACGTTTGATGATATCGGGACCAAGCGGCTTACGCACTCACACACGCATCTCCCTCAAGTTCATGCATCTCGTCTATGCACCTTGCTCAGCTCACGTATATTGATGCCGGCTACGCCAAGGAAGTCTGAAGAGGCTTCTATGGAGCCAACGCACGCCATGCAAGGGGCGTGAACGGGAAGGCGGTGTGCACTGCTGTGTTTGTCACACGCCACCGTCTGGAGATGCCTATCTTGGGACATGGAGCATGGGTTTGTGTGACAGAGACCATTGGGGGTCTAACGAGCGGCATGTTTGCCCGTTGAAGGACCTTGGCCCCCACGTCGTACGAAGTTCAAATCGAGCCTTGTGCATGATGGTAAAACTGTTGAGCATGACGAGCTGTCGCTGGCAACGAGCAATGCGAGCTGCCAACACCCGAAGTCATCGTCCGTAGATAGACTGAAATCGATGCAAACGCGATCAGAGCGTGTCAGGCAGGGATGGTAGCGCCATGCATCTGTGAAACCGAGCGTGCGGTTCTACCGGAAAGCTACTGATAGGCGTAAACTCAGCCCATGATTGGGTGTCATGAAGAAGCTAGTGAGCGCTCGCTAGCATTCAAGGACTAGGCGCAATATATTGTCGCTGCAGGTCGACTGTTTGACCAGCTACGAGATGTTTTTACGTATGACACGTCTGCTTCGCAGATTCATGTTTTGGTAAGATCTTCGCGATCCGCAATGCATATCATGGGACTAATCAGACACATTTATTTCTCAGCATGTCTTGGTGCTAGTGACCAGTCAGGGCTCATGTCGCTTGCTGATTGGACTGCAGGGAGACGTTACTGTTACACAGCATAATCTGAATGACGTCCAAGACTCGCCCATTCAACTACAGTCTTTTGTGAAGTACCGCGAGGAATTGGGTTTTTGCTCATCCCCTCCCCATCTATTGACAGGCCTCAATCCTTAGACAACCATGGCCGCCGAAAATTTTATCCGTGATCTTTCAAAGTAAGTCCCTACCTTCGAGGCACACCAAGACAACCAGAGGGAGAATACGACTACTACAGTCCCTGGCGTTCGATTCGACTGTTGCTGATATATTGCAGATATCTATTCGCTGGTAACTTGTCGGATCTTACCTTGACCTTTGGTGAGAAGAGCTGGCAGATCCACAAAGCTCTCGCCTGCTGTCATTCTACATGGTTTGAGAAGGCTGTTATTATTATTATTATTATATTTCCATTTGAGAAGGCTGTTAACTCTGGCTTCAAAGTAAGTGATTTGAGCCGAAATCTGAGCTTTGAATAACGTCGTATCGTAGGAATCGCAGAGCGGAGTGATCACTCTAAACGATGATCCTGAATTCGCTAATGCTATTGACTGTATCGTGTCGTATTTTTACAACGCCGGTTACAACGCTTCTCAGTACGACATATCCGAATCTCTCCTTCATGCCCAAGTTGCTACTATGGCTGACAAGTACGACTGCGCATCGCTCTACAAGCTTGCAAGAACTTCATTTGCAGGCACTGTATATGCTATCGAGAGCAATGACTGGATTGCCGTTGCTGCCTTTATCTACAATTGCACGACAACCGATTCGCCAGCTCATCAGGAGTTGCGCGGTTTGGTCGTCGCCGCCGTTGCAAAACGTCCTAGTGTGTTGAAGTCGATCCTTCAAATGGAACACGAATCAGGACTTCTCCGTTCAACTGCAGATTTGGCGATCGACCTCCTACTCATTAGGCCGTATATGTATGAGATGAAAGACCGTGCAAAACATATCTTCACATGTGGCAAATGTCAATATGCTCGTGTGGGATCGAACGATTGCGCGTACATGGCATCTCGAAATAGCTTACTTCAGGGCGATGCTTGCCCGCATTGCGGGAGTCAAAGTGGAGGAACGCCGAAACGACACACTTACACAGTTGGGCTGGTTGAGTCGTTTTCCTGTCCTTGCTGTGATGGAATTCATACCGTGGAGCCTGTCCATGAACCACAGCCCTCCACAACCGTTGCAAGCGATTGAAGGAGACAGACAAGGAATACATGCCTTATGATTCCACCTGCCTCAGTGTGCCTGTGTGAATGCCCAATCTACCTGTGAAACTTTTCGTCCACGTGGATACCGAATCGAAAGGGTGTCTACTGCGGAAGCTGAGGGAGTTTATCCACAAACGGGGCGCCTGTGCATACGGGGTAAGTTGGCAAACAAACTGATCGTCGGAATACCGTGTGACTCAATTTCATCGCCGACCGGGATTCTCCAATGAATTGGCATAGAATATGATTATCTTCTGTCTCGAGTTGGCAGACGCTTCAAATGACGCAGACATGGCGCGGTTTGGATTCCGTACTGTATTACCTGTGAAGCATACAGAAGATTGTGTCGAGAACTGAGGAACTCGTGTGATCTGATACGATGTTCGGCAGGTTGAAGGTGGAGTTATTTCTGGTGACGTGAGGCGCGCCTACCCAACGCCTAGTTAGTTCCAGAATCGCAGTCCTAATATCAAGCGGCCAGCGATGTCACGATACACTGCAGCCTTGCCCATAATCACGAGGTTCAGAGGGACTTGTAACAAGTCATGACACAGCATTCCAGACCCAAGCGTAGGCTCAGATTGGCCTTGTTCCACGCGACGTGCTCAAACAAAAGGTGCGCAAAGGATTTACTATCGCAATCTACACCGCCTCGTTGATGAGCTTCAAGAACGCCAAGGAGCCTTTCGGATACTTTGTGATGTTGTCCACCGTCATCTTTTCAATGTCGAAAAGTCTCTGCTCGTGCACACCTCCAAGAGTTAAAGCTTGCACAGCGGGTAGAACAGCCCTACTGAGACCGCGAAGTAGATTACCCTGGGACTTATCCAAGATGCCAACGAACTCAGCGTACTCGATGTCAGTGGGAGTCATTATCCTGTATCTCAGTCACTACTAGTTTGAGATCGGCTATGACTACTCACATCTTATCGGTAATACCGACATCTGTACCAGCGAGACCTTGATCTAACATGAGACCCAAGACACCTTCACCGAATCTTGTCTCCAGCATATGCAAGCGCTGGCCAAGCCTCCTTATGTCTGAGATCCACCGATACTTTGTTGTGTACTCGTCCGTACTGGATTCAACGTTCGGAAAGGTTTCTTGCATCATCCTCGCGGTCACGTCGGCTACAGACCTGTTGAACGGGTTTCCGCGCGTGTTCGGCGGACGTGCCGGACTGGATGGAGTCATGGCTATTCCCCAGGTCGACGTACTGGGGCCGCCACAGTCTTTGAACAGTTGAAGGACATAGTACTGTATCTTCGGAGCAGTTGAGAACGAGACATGGTATGACCCAGACTAGCAATCAGATGTACCCTTTCCGCTCTCGAGAGCGTATTCGTGACTTCCAGCGCTATATCCCCCTCCTGGGTCTTGCATGATTCTAAAATGTCTTGCAATCCACCTATTAGGCAAGGACTGCCGATGTGTTTCAGAATCTTTGTCAGCACTTCTGTCTTCCCTTTGCCCAGATTCTGGATTGCCTGTTGTATGGGAGGGGTAAGAAAGGTGTCTTGCGGGGTCCGGTGCCCCCATGCTTGACACTTTCCAGAGTTGGTATCAAGCAAGCTGCTTGCAAGCGCTTGCTTGAAAGCTTGAAAGCTTGATTAACCTTTCAAGTCAAGCAGCTCTATATAAATTTGCAAGCAAGTCAAGCAGATGGGGTACTGCTTGCTTGATTGCTTGAAAGTGCTTGCTTATATTGACTTTTTGAGGATTTTGGTGTTCTAGTAGATGGCGATATCGCGATACTAATCGTGGTGTTGCACTTTTTTCAGCTGAGTAAGCTAGCTTACAAACTGATGAAGGTGGAGAAACGTGTGTGAACTTGTTGTATTAGAGCTACGGGAGAAGGGAGAATATCTATGGTGCGCGCACGGAGCAGCTGACTAATCAGTGCCTGGCAAATCAGAGCACGGGAAGCCTGATTCACCGTGAATACTAGTGAAGGCTGTCACCGCGTCTTGACACAAACCTCGACCTCCCATCAACGCGCTCGTACTAGCCACCTCATATCAGCCATCTAAACGTCGCCGTCGCTAATATCACGTGTCTCTTTTAGTGTCGTACTTTTTGAGCTATCGTACAACTCTCCATAGCGGGCAGAAAACGCGTCTCTAACGGCTCTATCGCCGCTAAAGCTCCACCCAAAAAGCGCGCCCGAGTCGCCCCATCAGGCTCCGCCAGCCAGCCGATATCTATTGGTGACACTCAGCAGCCATCTCCATCTCCATCTACTCCATCTACGCCGTTTCCGCCGCCGCCGCCGGCCTCCTACGTTTCTACTTTCGAGTCACAACTCCGCGATTCCCGCCCCGAAGCTGAGATCGTAGCGCCTTTCGAGGGCAGCGAGGAGGCAACTGTTGCCTCATCAAATACAGCAAATGAGGCCTCACCTCACATGGATGAGGCGCTCGATGGAGACTTTGAGGACAACTACGAGGGCATAGATTGGGATCGCTTGCCTCGTGTTATCAAGCCGCCTACAACCTCGCGCCGCACGCCAAGCTGGATATATCGACATGGCTATCGAGTTGTACTTCGATCTGACATGACTACAACGTACTTTATCTGCAAGTTCTGCCACATCCACAAGTATATTGACGCTGGGCTTGCTGGTGTTTATCCATCAGCTGCAACTACAGCAGCAGCGCGCCACCTCTGCGAGAATCGACCTGGCCCAGTGCTGAGACAACTAAGTTGAGTGAGCCACTGGTGGTGGGTACAGATTACCCCGAAGTGCGAAGTGCATCGTCTGCTGGTACATTTCATCATGGCACTTAGCCAGGAGAACTGATTTTGGTGAGCGATGCATTGTGGCATGGGAGTCAGATCTTCAGGGTTTATCCAGCCATTGCGATTGAATAGAGGGGCCAAAGTCTGGCCCTTTTCATCAGGTCCAATCTTAGCGGCATGAAGCGCTTCTGCGGTCTTTCTTAGTATTGAAGACACTGAAGCTATAGAGAGGGAATTACCTTGGGTAGCTACGCTGGCAATGGCGACCGTTAACAGCACGAAGGATGTACTAAAACCCTTCATTTTATCAAGTGCTTGATATGCTTGACCTTGACGTAGTGTGTAGGGAGCGATGCTATTGTGTGTCTGGTTCAATTGAGGTTTGATGCCCTTAAGGTGCGGGGTTGCGGCGTGTTTGGCGCCGTTAGCGTCCCTGACCCCACCCTGAGACAGTGGCGCCGAAGGTCAAGGCTGCTTTTTTCCGGCACTAACAATCCTCAACACTCCATCTTTTGGAGAAAGGGGCATGGCTTCAACACCTGCTACGATGTCAATAACTGCCGTCGGTAGCACTTCTTCACTTCACCCTCGCTTCACGTTTCGCGACGGGCTGCGTTTCGTGCTCTTTCTGGTCATTCCCATTTACGCACGATTCTGCATTTCGCCTTCGATCTCTTCTGCTTTTGGGCATACTACATCATCGGCACCACTAGCATTTGTATCGTTCATTTCAGTGGCGGTATCATCAGTCTTGGTCAAGTTGGAGATGTCGTCTACGGTCTAGCGATATCTAGCTTTCCAGGCTTAAGTAAATCGTATTCACTGACAGCCTGGGTTGTACCTAATATCGAAGGCTGGCGTGGGATAGTGATCTACTGTGCGTTTATAGCGACATCTGTTGAGAATACAGTCCGTAAGTGACTTGGTGGTATCAAGCGGAGGAGTAGTCACATGATTGGTGACACGTGCAGGCGGGTCCTAGCGGGGAGCTTGGATGCAGCTGTACGCAACACGGATCTTCGAACTGGTGGATACTTAATCAGTCAATAATACGAATCGTACCACCACTACCGTTGTGCCTTAGAGAGCGCTCTATTAGGTAGTCATACTACTACTAATAGTGCAAGCTTCTTAACAACATCTTTGTCGAAAGGCTCACGTACTAGTACGGGTGATAGTTATCTGGATTCTGGTGTCTTGATTGCTATTGTTCTTCTGCTAAGGTACAGGTGTCTCTCATCTTCATGTGTAAGGGGCTACGCTCAGGGAGCAATCGCACAGGTATACTGGAGTTGTATTCGATGGGGAAGAGAACTACAAGCTATCTCGTGCTAAAGGTTATTCGGAGAGCGGCTCGGAATAACCTTATGCCTATGGACTGTGCGGATGGTCCAAGCGTCGTTCGGACCGAGATATCATCGAGGATTCACCAACTGGGCTCTAACCCATCACATCATGTGTTGCCGCCAAGGTGTCGCTAGGCCCAAAGGGACTAGCGCGCTCGTGACGGAAAACGTGATTATATATGTACTGTTAAGAAGCATGCACTATCAGTAGTAGTATGACTACCTAATTGTCAGATTTTTATGGATAGGATCAAGTGTGTATTGTCTGTGTCTGTCTACGGCTCTGTCTGTGGGAGGTGGCCTCGCCTCGGGCTTGGCAGTGCTAAGTCCCGGCGCTAGCCCTGGTTTGGGGGTCTCATGTCCTTCCCCAACCACCATCGGCTCGATCATGGAGCAAAACCTCGCCTCAATCTGACACTAATAGAGCGCTCTCTAAGGCACAACGGTAGTGGTGGTACGATTCGTATTGTTGACTAAGGAGCTCTCTCTTAGTTCGTAGATCCGTGTTGCGTGCAGCTGCATCCAAGCTCCCCGCTAGGACCCACCTGCACGTGTCACCAATCATGTGACTACTCCTCCGCTTGATACCACCAAGTCACTTACGGACTGTATTCTCAACAAAAAGCGTTAACTTAGGTAGTTTGTCAAAAGCGATCGCTTGGTGATGTGAGCAGAGGCCACGTACAATCGGAGCAACTACCGAATTTGGAATAGTGTTTATAGCCCTCTGACAAGGGGTGGGCCCAAACTTTTGACAGGCACCTCCGTACACGAACCGGAAACTGCAAATGCATGAGAGAGTACTGTACACTCTCAAGCACTTGCAGTTTCCGGTTCTTGCAAGTGATCAATCTTTCATCCCACGCCAGGCCTCTCTCGCCTAATCGTAATCTTAATCAAAGAGCGCTAGCTCCTGTCAGCAGTACCTTGTGTAGGGAGACATCAGTATCTCGCACTCAATCAAGTTGAGACGCTTACAGAGCCCAAGATGTTTTAGGCAAGCGCTCATCAGTCGAGACGAAATACACTGACATGCAAAATTGGCTTCCGGTTCTGAAGCAACTCAAACATTTGAACCGACATGGGTTCTGTCATGCCAAACGTTCTTCTTACCTCTGTGAGCTTAGCGCATTTCAAGAAACAGGGTACAAACTAGATAGCTTATGATGTAAGCGAGCAGGCTAAGCCAAGAGACGTAAGCATGGCGCTTAGCGCAGCAAGGGGTCCTCGCAGATTTTGTTCGTCTGTGTCTGCCAGGGCCGCAACAGCGACTCTACAGGTGCCAAACCGACGCGGGGGGACGCGTGATGGCCTGTAGAGACTATTGCGGCCGCTGGCAGATGTTTTTGTTCGATAGCCCTGAGGTTCCTGCTCCTATGAGCGTGTACTTGGCTATCTAGCCTATTTGGGCTTAGCCTGTTTCCATCTCAAGATGCTCTTACTCTGTACCGTAGCCAACAATACAACTAGTACCTCACCTACCATTTACATGGACGCTTTTACCGTACAGTCCATCAGTTTTTGAGGCTATTGTGACGGGTGATTCCAAAAATTAATTTCTCGCTGTTTGTCGTGTTTTTCCAGAGCCCGTGATAGCCAGTAGTGCAATCGAGAGCTCCACGTTTTCAGCTGTATCCGGCATTGTTGGGACATGCGCGTACAGCCAGCCCGACATAGATGTATTTTAGATAGCGAGCTTTTCCGGGTTGGAAGCTTGGACCACTAGTTAGACCAAGCTTCCCGCTTAGCTCGCACCCGTACATAGGGAGATCTCTCCACCCAGCTCTTGCTCACTACTAATCAAATTGTGAGGGATCGATCAAGAAAGATTGGATTTGACAAGATACAAGCTATCGAGCTATCTACGTTGTGAGCCCGAACTTATGCTGTGGGCGCCAAGGCGCTAGTCCGATAAGATAAGGATCTTATCGATATGGGGGCCATGGGCCGAGCGAGTCTATGGATCCGTAACACAAATATCATATACTTTGTTCGTTGCAACGACAGTGATATTCGACACCTTTGCCGTGTCAACAGGCATAGCTGTGAAGGTCGTCCGAAGATGATCTTGGGTTGGTTCTCAGGGATAGAGTAATGCGATGGACACGAGGGTGTATAGCACCATTGGTAGATCGATGTAATATACGGTGGGTTTGAGAATCAAGGGTAATCCTTAGATTGATACTTAAGTTGAACACAATGAGCTATAGGAGCTCATTGCCTACTGTTATATACTGACGAGTGTGGAGACTGTCCTACAGTCCTATACTGTCCTACACTGTCCCATGCGTGGTACATCGTGGGACATCGTGGGATATCATGGGACACACGTGACCTGTTCCATGGTGGCGTTCCGCCAAGCCCGTGGGATCACGTGCTCCGGTGGGGTGGCGTCATCCATTGGTCCTGAAAGCGCTGACCTTCTGGACGCCCCCCTCTGAGAGAATCCTGTCATCCTTTTGCTACATATCCTGCTGGTTCCCTTCTTAGGTTCGTAACAATAGCTTAGAATTTTAATACTACGCCACGTAAGCACGCTAAGTCCTTCTGCTAAGACGTTCTATCAATTACCCAGCTCGGAGAGACTCGGAATACATACTTTAATGCACGGAATGACTTGAAAGTGGAGGGTAATATTCTTTATTCACTAGGCTATTATCTCATCGCATCGGAGCGGGTAAGCTGGTAAATGGGTCGGGGTTGGGTTGGGGTTGGGTTACCTTAATAGGTAATGACTAGGCTAACTTGGAACTAGTCATTACCTATTAAGGTAGCCCAAGCCCAACCCAACCCCGACCCATTTACCAGCGTAGGAGCGGGGAACTTCCTTAACATCTATATTCGAGTAGGGGTGTGAAGTCAGAGCGGGGTTATATGTAAGGAGTATTCGAACCAAGGTTGTCAGTAATCAATATCTCATCAATATTGTTGTTTGATTTGTTTGATTCGGAGCCAACCAACTAACCAACAGTTAGCCACTGTATTTCTGTCAATCAATCAACCAATCTTGAGAACAAAATGTTGATAGGATTGGTGTTGTTTGATAGTAAGCGAGGGAGGGGGATACCTAGGTGAGGCCTCTGGGATAGCTGCTCAACGACGAATTCTTAGTGTTGGATCTTGCTTACTAAGCCTACTCGCGTGTAAGTTATATGACCTAGGTTCCATCCCATCTCTCACTCACTCCAGGCTAGTACGTACGAGGCTTAGCGCCCACAACGCTAGCTGGCAGAGACATAGATCTCAATTCCTGTAGCACAATACACAACACGATTCACACATGTTCTATTCCTAGTGCTACTGACATCAGGCTTATAACATTTAACAACACCTTACTTTCTCGCGGCTCCGGCTTACTTTTAGCCTTATCCATGCCCTCTATACCAGCAAAACGCAAGCCCGAGGCTGCCGAAGAAGCTGATACTCCCTTCAAGCGAGCACAACGTACGCGCAAACCTACGCTCAAAGCGCTGTTGGGTGACGGCAGCCAGCCAACCCAGCCGATAGAGCTGCCAGAAAGTACGCCGGATCCGCCTACAGAGCCGCCTACACAAGTTATCGAGCCGCCCACACGGGCTATTGAACCGCCATGTAAGCCTGTACAACAACCCGAGGAGCGCCC